TTTTTTTTTTCTTTTTTCTTTCTTTCTTTTTTTTTTTGAGACAAGGTCTCACTATGTAGCCTGGGCTGTCCTGGATCACTGTGTAGACCAGGCTGACTTGACTTTTAGCTTACAGAGATGCACCCGCCTCTGCCTCTGGAGTGCTGGAATTAAAAGTGTTAAAAGTATATGTCACCATGGTCAGGTGAAAACGGAGACTGCACTTTCATTTCCAGGCTTCCCAGACCCAAATAATCACAGAAACTATATTATTAATAGCAATACTGTTTGGCCAACAGTTCGAGCATATTTCTAGCTAGCTCTTACATCTTAAATTAATTTGTGTATCGCCACAAGGCTGTTGCTTACTGGTAAGGTTGTGGCGTCTTTCTCCTTCAGCAGCTACATGGCATCCGCTTGACTCTGCCTTCTTTCTCCCAGCATTCAGTTTAGTTTTCCTGCCTACCTATATCCGTCCCTGCCATAGGCCAAAGCAGCTTCTTTATTAACCAATGGTAATACAATATATTCATAGTATACAGAGAGAAATTCCACATCAGTCAGGCAATATAGTTCTTAAAATGTTAAACATTCCTAACTATTAGTAAAATGCAAATTAAAAATATTATGGAGATTCCATCTCATCCCAGTTAGACTGGCTACCATCAAGAAAACAAAGAAAGCCAGATGTGGTAATGCATGCCTTTAGTCCCATCACTCAGGAGGCAGAGGCAGGTGGAGTTCAGAGTTAGGCTGGTCTACATAGTAAGTTCCAGGCCAAAATACAAATATTTCCACCTGCCTCTGTCTCTGGAGTGCTAGGATTAAAGACACGTACCTCCACGCCCAACTCACAATTATTTTCTTTTTCTTTTTTAAATAATTGGCAAAGCATTGTTTTTAAAGGTTTACTTATTTTTATATACATTGGTGTATTGCCTGATTGTGTGTCTATGTGAAGGTGTCCTCAGGTCCTCTGGAGCTGGAATTAGACAGTTGTGAGCTGCCATGCGGGTGCTGGGATTGAACCCAGGTCCCTTGGAAGAATAGTCAGTGCTCTTAACCTCTGAGCCATCTCTCCAGCCCCTCACAATTATTTTCAATGAATATATATGCTGGATAGTGTTA